TATATGTATATATATATGTGAATAGGGGTGCTTTGGTGCTGCATTTTGACCTTAAACAGGAGGCTTGAAGCCAAGGAGAGTGAAGCATTGCCACACAGATGGTGCTTAACAACATGGCGACACAGCAGCAGCTGAATCCTTGTGATACAAACACACCACAGAAAAAGAAACTCAAAGGCTGTGTGTTTTTACACAGACAAACAAAGGTGCTGTGGCTTGAAAACACAACTAGTTTCCAGCACTAGAGCTGTCACTTTTATCAGATGTTTCTTTCTCTTTTTATTACCAACCCAGATTCTGCAGGAAAAATGGTGCTTCTGTTTCCAAACAATGGCAATTCAGAAAAATCTTTACTGGTGCATACAAGACTGTGTCAACCTCTTGCACACACTGTCTTTAGATGTCTTACTGTCAAGGCCCTACCTTGTAATGTGAGCATATTGTGTAATTGCAAAGACATGCTGATGTAAAACACTTGTGTTAGGGTGTGTGTGTGCATCACTTAGTTGAGAGTGAGAGCAGCCAAGCTTCCGGGTTCCTCTGATAGTGGGAATACACTTAAGCTCAGTTTGTGTGTTTGTGTGTGTGTGCTTATTTTTTCCACTTTGCCAGTGCATATCGAAGGGAAGATTAGACTAATAATGAAAGCTTTATTGTAAACTCCTGTCCTGTGCACTCACTCTGTGAACACAAACGTGCGAGTGTTCAAGTGAAAAGAAGAAAGTCATTTTAGAACATAATTAGAGACTATAGTCCATTTGTTACCAGCACTGAGAGGTCTTTTGTAATTATTGTTGATGCTGTTTTGATTTTCTTATTCTTGGTGTTTGATACAGTTTCAGTTACATGTTAAGCTTTTAATTGTGTCTTCAGATTCCTGTCAGTTTTTAATACTACTAGTCAGACACAGCACGGTGCTCTCCTTCACTTAAAACAAGGAAATTGCAGCTATTGATAAATACTACTCTTCTCCTGTTGTGCTGCAGGGTTTTATGGTTTAATAATCTACAACACGAGCTTGCCTGGCGGCTTTCTTGCGGTCCAGTCTAACCTATGGAAGTTTCTCTGACCTGGAGGCGCGGCGCGGTGTATGTGCGCATGAGAATAGTTTGTGGGAATGGCAAAGATCACGTTCATTACAGATTTCAACCAGTTTTGTAGCTACTTGTACAATCAGTCAAAGGGGTGAGGTGCTGTTATTCAAGTCCTTTGGTGTATGAGCATGATTTGAATTAAAGCTTCTATGCCGTTCTCCAGCATTATCCATTCTGGTACATTATTGATCTGTGAGAGCTCTGCAGTCGAGGCTGTTTACTCTAAATCCTGCCAAAGGTCTTAACTCAGGAACTTCCCATATTGCTTGAAATCATGTAATGATGTAAACAATTTTCTTTAAACTACTGCATGTCACAACTTTATTCACCATCTTGTGCATGATGAAGTCCCTCTCTAACCCAACTCAGGACCAGGACAACCCCCTCAGTAAACATATTTCAAGGTAAAATTAGCCAGCTGTCTTGCCAGATCTCCTCAGATTGATTCTCACTGCCGCATACATCCAGCCTCTCCGGGTGAAATCCAGCTTTATAAAGCTTTACGAGTCGGTCTGTTCTCAAGAAGCTGTGAAATGGCTATGACTTTTCAGCATCTTCCTCATCTCACAAATGCCTCTGTCTAGATTTGTGTCTCTAAGAATGAGGTTCACTGTCCTTTTGTTGGGATTCTTCCCCTTTATTTTTGGGGGGGTTAACTGACATTGGACATGTGACCTACAGTATGTGTATAGTGATCTCTGATCGGTGCAGCCAGGGCAGGTTTGAGGTGCAATAACGGCAAACCTACTTTCCAAAAGGCCCTGGGTTTTCATGATAAAGTTGTTACTGTTCGATGTTGGTGCTTTTATCCTAAGATGTTATAATGAAACAAATGGAATTAATGTTTTTTTTTTCTGCATTTTATGATTATTAATAAAAATGTTTCATATAATATTTGAATTAATTTTGTGGTGTGCTGTGGCATATATGATTACATTCTCTTTTCACTAATGGAAAACTAGTAGATCATACTATAGTTTACACACTGTAAGTTAGTTTTATGCCTTTTATTCTGAAATTAACTAGTGAAGAAAACCTGTGAGGTTGAGGAATCAGAAGACAGTCTCTTACATGGTCATCATCATAATGAGCTTTAATCTGCGTATTCAAAATAGCCAAACGTTTCCACCAAATTATATCAAACATAATTGGACATTTGAGCAAAGGGGTTGCAAATGCTGTTAAATTTAACACATTAATTTGGATTAATTTAAAAATAGTGTGTTAAAAAATGGAAATTAATCATCCGTTATACGATCATCTAGGTGTTAGGCTAACATTTGCAAATAAAACTTGATTTCTAATGCCACCTGTAGGGTAGACTACTAATGTGTCACAATTAATGTTTTTGTAATTTCCAAGAACACAGTAATACATGTGATTAAGTCAGCATATATTTCTGC